ACAAGAAATAAACAAATTGTAGCAATAATGCTTTGGTCTGTGATGAAGAACGCAACAATACTAACGCGTGTAATAACTACAATCCAAGTTTGTGTACGTCGTTGTGACAAACTTATTTGCAAGTTGTGTGAAAAATGTGTGCAAGTGGGGTAGTTTTAAATCAAGTTGTTTATTGTAGGAAATAAATTTGAATATGCCGCGCTTATATGTTCCGCTACTGTCGGTAAAGTAGGGAGTAGAGTAATCGATAAGTATCTAAGAAAAAAATGGCGAAGCAGCCGCATGTTTGTATTGAGAGAAATAAATGTTAAAGAAGTCAATCCACGATTCTGTCATTTTCCTATGTTATAGTAAAAAAATTCTTCTCAGATTCAAGTTTATTGTCTTGGCATACGAAAACAACGGTGTACTGTGTAAAAATATAGTTGCAGTTGAGTCCTAGTTGAGTACCTAAATATTTATCTAGGGTTGAGTGTTGTCAGAACTATTCACCATACTTGTAAATAAGCCAAATTTGAAGGGAAAATAATTTGTGTTGTGTGGATGAGTTTGTGGAAGCTTTATTAAAAGCATGGGGTTTTAAAAATCTTATCAAAGAACTTAAAAGTAAGTTACTTAATTTAATATTCTCTGCTTCCTAGTCCTAGTTGTTGAAAACAAAAACAACCTTGTATAAATCCGTTTTTTGCTTTATAAATCTAAAAACAATACTGCAAAATTAAAAATTTCCTTAATTAAAAAAAGGTAATTAATCTTTTAGGTAATTAATCTTTTAGGTAATCGAAGCAGCTGCAAGTGAACCGATAGTATTTGAACATGTCGGAACCAAAACATATATTTTTTAAATGGAACACCAGATATATTTGTATATTTTTGAATAGAGCAATATAAGGGCGTTTTAAAATATGTGTTTATTTTTTTATTAGTCACTGAAATAGGTATTTACTTTAAAGCTATAAGGCATGTTATTGCATTTATTTTTAAGACTAATATGTTGATTTTTATATCAGTCAGTAATAAAACTAGTATTATTTTACAGTGATATTGGTTTTTTTATCCCCTCATGAGGGATGCATCCAACCCCTCAAAAATATATCGACGATCTGCTACAATTTGTATGAACAAATTTATTTTTGAAGGCAGTGTTTAATTAACACTTTTATTTTTACGACAATTTGGAAAAATATTTTTTAGTAATTGTTGTAAAAAACATCTTTCTGGACCCAGATTATAGTGACAAACGCAACAAGTACATGACATCAGAGATATATAAAAATATGTGTAGCAAGTTGCTGTTCTAGGTGTTTTAAGTTATAGTAATAAATTTCTTTCAATTTTGTTTGAATGTGTACCTATTACAATTTGTTATTTTCCGTATTTTCAACACAGTTTGTAAAGAAGATTCATTTATTTATATTGATTTTGACAACAAATTTCTTTGCGTGAAGGTTATAAATGAAAAGTGGAATGTTCTGATCCAGTTAAAAAATGTGCCACGTCCAATTAAAGATGAAATTCGCTCGTCGGTTATTTAAGGTACCGGCTCTTAAGTGAAAGAAAAATCGAAAGCTTGCGCGAGAGCCGAACAGCATCAGAATCTAGTAGACAAAACAGCATATGCCTATGATTGGAATGAGCGATGCGCAGGATTGTGCATAATAATGAATTTATTTGCCATATATGCAAACAAACAAACATTTTAAAACGTATTAGTAGCATAATCAATAGGCCATTTCAGACACCGATCGACTTAAATAGCAATAGCGGTATGTGTTTGAAACAGACTTATTCGCATCCGCACGTTGACACCTTTCTTCTTCTTCTTCTTCTTCGTCTCTACCAACACAACTTTATTTTTATAAGCAGATTTAATTAGATTCGTTCAAGAACTTTAAATGAAAGTAATATATTACTTAAAAAACAACTCAATCTGTGATTGTACCAACCATACGAGGTGTGTTCAGAAAATAACGGGAATTGTTAAATTTCGCGGGTTCGGAGGGTCCGCTTGTCATAAAATTTTCTTTATTATGTTGGTATACATGCCTCCGATGATGATAAAAAGTTTAGCTGTTTTCATTGTTTACTTTGTCTGTGGCAGCCGCTAAGGTTAGACGTGTTTTATGAGCTCGGCGATTTTTCGTTCGATAAAAGAAATGGATCAAAGAATTTGTATCCAATTTTGCTTAAAAAATGAAATAAATTATGTGAAATGTTAACAAAGACCTATAGTGAGTCTGCTATAAGTAAAACAAGAGTTTACAAGTGGTATAAGAGTTTCCAAGATGGCCGTGAAGACGTTGAAGATGACGAACGCCCCGAACGCACAAGCACATTAACAACCGATAAAAACATGGAAAAAGTGGAAGAAATGGTTATGAACCATTAGAGAAGTCGCTGATGATGTTGGTATATCGATTGGCTCATCCCATGAAATTTTTTCGAATGTATTGGGTATGAAACGCTTGGCAGCAAAATTTGTTCTAAAATTGTTAAATTTTGAAAAAAATTTTTGGCCAAAAACAATACCCCTCCATATTCGCCAGACATGCCTCTGTCTGACTTTTTCCCATTCCCAAAAATAAAGAGAACCTTAAAGGGCCGTCGTTTTGCAAGCATAGATGACATTAAAAGCGCATCGCTGAAAGAACTAAAGGCTATCCCAAAGATCGAGTTTTAGAAGTGTTTCGAGTATTGGAAGAAGAGCTGGCACATGTGCATAATATCCAATGGGGACTATTTTGAAGGCGACAACATTAATGTAGACGATTAATAAATATTTGTTTCAAAAAACGAAAATTCCCGATATTTTCTGAACACAATTCGTATATGGTAGTATTTGAATATTAAATCTTCATAATATAAAACTCACAGTTCAGTGAAAAAATATGAAATTTGATAAATAAACGGTACCTTACTCGAGACCATCAAGGGTGAGTAGCTTGAAGAAATAAAAGAAGAAAAGGAAACGAAGAGACAAGACGAGATAAAGCTTGCAAAAAAGCCGGTAGTATATCGATTTGCTTGTCCCTTTGAACATTATCTGGATGTTTTATTGGCGACGTATCGGATTCTCATCACGAACATTCTTAAATCTGCCTCAATTGTCAGCGAGCCTGCCGGCCTGCAGGCTGAGATAAATAAATAAATAAATAAATATCGAAGAGACGAATCTTGGCCATGCAGTGCAACGCAGCATTCGCTTCTCGTCTCAACTGAACATAGATTCAGATAGACATATCTAAACGAGAGTAATGCTATCCTAACCTTACCCATACGCATTCTCATATAAATTGTGAATTCAACAATATGCACATTTATACCTTTTGGGCTGATAGTTTCGGAGATATTAGTTATGGGTTGATACAATTAAAAAGTGTTTATAAATAGAAGAAATGTTCATAAACTTTATTCGAATCTAAAAAACGTTGAGCCCAACTATAAATGATGTCTAAACATACTTAAAAACCACAAACGAATCTTTAGCCATACTTAAATTATCCATTAGACAAAGTAAATATGAGTTATGTAGTAATAATTTCTATATTAGACGTAAAGAGTATGAATTGCAGAAAATATCCGGTTTGATAAACGACCGTGGCTTTTTCATTACAAAAGAAAAACAAATAAAACCTGCATGCAGCAAATTTATTAGACAGTAACATTATAGCTTAAGTAAGCTTTTAACGAAATGTCACAACAGCGCATGTGTATGTGCACTGAAAAAAATAATTTGTTTAAGCAACTAAAAAAAAGTTGCGCCAACAAATTTTATTTGTAGCTATAGCCTCAACTAAAATCTTTGTTACAACAACAAATTTTTTTTGTTGAGACATAATATGTTACTGTAACTAATATTTTTTGTTGACAAAACTATGGCGTCTTGTTTAAAGTAACTAATATTATTGATATCTCATACAATAATATTTTGTTGTTAAAACAGTTTACATTTGTTTTAGGTAATAATTTATTTGTTTCTATAACTTTTTGCATTTGTTTTCATTATAAATCTATTTGTTGGAAAAGCTATGGTAATGAGTAACTACAACATTGTTGCTTTGTTGTTATAACATTTGGTAGTTCTTTTAATAACCAAAAAATAATTTTTGTTAAAAGAACTTTAACAATATTAACCTATGCCTACACAATATTGTTAAAGCACCTCTTTCAGTATGTAATACTAATTAATAAAAAGAGTTGCATTAACAATATTGTGTAGGTATAGTTTAATATTGTTTGATTTTTTTTAACAAAAATTATTTTGGTACCTTTAAAAGTATTTTCTAATGAAGAAAATCCCCACTCGGTTAATATTTGGTTTACTTCTTCATCCATAACGCCCAATGCACAAAAATTAATTAACTCGAACCTGCTTCCTCTAGCATTTGCATAAAAATTTTTTGACAGTGACAAATTATTTTTTTATTATTCAATCACTATGACACCAAGACTTAACTTTAACCATGGCACCAAGTCGGTCAACTTTATAAAATAAATTTCAATGTCACATCATGTCAATTTTGGGCGAAAATTGACAACAAAAACATATTTGTTATGTTTACTAAGGATACCTATTAGCGGCGACGCATATTGTCAGTAGAGTAAACTAATTCTTTCCAACAAATTCATTTTTGTTGCAAATACTAATGTATTAAACACTTTACTTGGGTTAACAAATTTTTTATTAGGACCAACAAAAACAATTTCAACAAAAAATTTATTGGTTGATAGAACAGATTTGTTTTTTCAGTGTGTACATGTGATTTGGACAAATAACCGTATAATTTCATTGGAGGAATGAATAATTGCGCGAATTTATTTTACAAACGCCACGGTTATCGGATTTCAACCCCATTAATCAAAGAATTCAGTTTTAGAGTTTGTTTTTATTAAACACTGCAGTAAACTTAGACAAAATTTAATAAGATTTATAGTTTTGTTGTACAGTCTAGAGATTAGTGTTGGTGAATTTTTGAAACATAATCTTGGTTTTATTCCAGATGAACCAGCTCTGTAAAGTTTGCGGCGAGCCAGCTGCAGGCTTCCATTTTGGAGCTTTTACGTGTGAAGGATGCAAGGTCAGTATATACATGTAAAACCGTAAAAAATAGTTATTTATGTCATTAGGTTAAGAAGTAAGGCTTTTTGTGCTAAGCTCAAGGTTTGAAGGCCGACGCGTAGCGGATGCCTACAATTGAGCGAAGCACAAAAAGGCACTTCTTGGCCAAATGGCATACAACATTTTATCTTTAAAGCACTTTATATAGGTCAATTTAATTCAACATTAAAGCGACCTAACCTCACTTTTTTAGAATCTCATTTATTTATTAGCCAAAGATTACATTAAATGTACAATAACTATTATTGCTTTTAGAAGCAGTAATAGTTTGACAATACCTAGCAACATGATTTAAGTAGAAATGGATTTTTACTATTACATTGAATTCAATTAATTGTTTAATTAACCTAGGTATCTAATTTCAATTTGTTAGGATTTTTGTTTAAAAACTAGGTAGTTTGGAAGGTTTGGGCTGTGTTTAACATTTAATTTCACTTAAAACTTAAAGCAAATTAAAACTTAAAGATAATTTAAATCGTAGAAAAAGAATCATGCGTTTTCTTGGTTGCCTAACCTCACTTTTTGTTTTATTATTCATATTTAATTTTACAATATTTTAATGAAAAATATTAAACATTAACAGTAAAACAAACAAATTAGTGCTTATTATAAATAAATTAAACCAGTTTAGTACGCTAATTTCTTAGAAAAGGATTAATTTGTCAAAAGAATACCCCTAGCGAGAAAAAATCGAACTATTACTTGCCTCATAAAATTTTTTATCGGCCTAGGCCATAACAAGGTATTTCTTTATCGAATGTTGACAACAATAAAGTTTAAATTATATACCGCGTGGAGATAAACTTCTTTATTTAAGTTTAGTTGTCACATTAACCCAACTTAATAAAGGTTCAGGAAATTGGATCACTTTTTTAAACCAACAACAAATCAAGTGGACCTCTTGGGATGAGAGCATGTCTTCAAATTCTTTACTGTGTAGGTAGAAGATATTTGTAATATATCGATTTGATTTAGAATGTTCATAACACTTGATGCTATCAATAATCCACCCACATAAAAGGATGAGATGAGATAGTATGAGAAGAAGAACCTATGACCCAAACAAGAAAACCAATATGCATAAATAATTTGCACTTGGGACAGCACCTGCATCAATCGACAGACAATCTGCATTATTTCCAATAATTGCATTTCTGCTTCTTTATGACCTCTGCTATTCAGTGTATATCATCATCATATATAATATATTTTAAATAGGTTTTTAGTTATCAATGTCTTCCTTCCTATAGGTCAGAGCTGAAAATTTGCAATAATATATCTTGATGAATTCTTTGCTTTAATTTTGGTAATTCTTGGCATCACCAACGAATTAATATTTCATTAAAAATAGTTTGTTATTAAATTAAAACAGTCCAAGATCAACAAACTTTTAATTATATACAAATATATATGACTTAATTAGAAGATAAGGTATCTACTGATCTAGCCATAATCTATTTAAGTTAAAATATTCAGATCATTAAAGACCGGAATTTGCAAACTTTTCTATAATTTACTTAATAAAAAACAAACTATACAAAATTACACCTAAATGCATCTAATCTTTATATCAATAATTATAATTTATCAGCATAATTATTGAGAAATTTAAATCAAAAATAAAATTAAAGACCGTGTTTATATTATAGCATTTGCTTTCTTACTCCGTATTAAAGTAATATTTTATATTGATGAAAATCTGTGTAATAAATTATAATAAAATTGGACGTAAATGGGTTATATATACAGAGTGGTTCTCACTTATAAAATAAAATTCGTTTTTTTTGATGAGAAAAAGTTTTTTATGTTTAGATGTCCCCATAGGAAAAAGTCTAGAGGTGTTTGATCTGGTGATCTTGATGGCCATTCTATAAAACCTCTTCTTCCAAACCTGTGTGAAAAGGTTATAATTTATATAATAGTTTAAATAGGTAGTTTAAATAATACAGAAAGAGCATTTTTCGACCACTTAGAACGGTATCAAGAAATATTTAAACACATTTTTTATGGAAATTGATCCACATTTGAATTATTATAATTTTGTTTATACCAATAAATGTTAATATATTCAAACGTTTTTAAATAAATTTATATTTATTTATGTTATTTTTTATAATAAAGTTAACGACAAGGTTTTTGTTTCAATTTTGGGGATTGGACAGTTAACTATTTCGTTATTTAAATTAGCTGATGTCATATAAATCAAGGGCCATTTGAAGCACAATTCTATGGTTTGGGGCTAATTAGCTTTTAATAATACATTTGTGGATTCCCAATAAACAATTTGTACTACTTATGGTAACGATAAATTTTATAAAGGTTATATAAGAGTTGTCAAATTATATAAGAGTTTAACAAGGTTTTATAAAATCGCCATTTAGTTTACCAGTTTTATAATGGTCACATAAGGTTACCGTAAACTCTAATTATATAATTTGGTTATATAATGGTTTCTACAAACATTTTATATAACCTTTAGTAACCGTTACCAGTAGGTTTATAAAGTTTGCGGTTACCTGCTTTATAAAACTATTATGTCTTTAATTTTTTGAAATAAAAATTGTGTTATTAATTATTTATGTGCTTAATAAACCAAAAATATTTTGTAAAATAAATTGATTCCATTGCGTTAAAACCGGGCAAAAATGCGAACCTACAAAGCTAACCTGAGCGGTTAGATGGTTGCCTATCAAAAGTTTTATAACATCACTTGGAGTAACGACAGTTACTAAAATGTATATAAGTGTTTCAAAATTATATAATAACACTTTAAGTAACTTAGATAGTCCTATAAAACTGAACTAGTACCTTAGGTTGTATAAAATTACCATGAGCCATATAAGAGGGCTCAAGGTTGATACATTCTTTCCGTGGTTTCCATAATATTCCTGTTATCTCAAGTTATAAAACTTGGGTTTTATAGTGTTAATAAAATATGTACCAAGAACCATAAACTCCCCAAATAGGCTCTTTAAGGGGTATATAAGAGTGATATAAATATTTCTGTAACCAAATTAAGAAATTTAAGTTTTATAATTTGTATGATATAACATTTATGAAAACCACTATAAAAACAAAAATGTTTATTGGGTTGGTAGATTTGGGCCACAGCCATACCGACCAATTTGGCAGTGCCTTACAAAAAGTCCTATAAGGTACTAGGAGTTCATTTGTTGGTTATCGCGGAGATCTGTTGTTACCGAGGAAAAGTGGATGCTAAAGAAGCGAAGTTTGAATGTAAAGCAGTTGGGTATCTCTGATTAGCATCAGTCGATATTAATTACCCGAACGGCATTGGATGTTTGTTGTGCCTATCAAAATCAATCAGTCGATATGTTAATAACTTGTAGCTCCCGTAGATATCGCCCGAGATCTACTGTAATCCTGTATCTGATTCAACAAAATACCCACCAGTCAATAACTTTAATAATCCGATCATCGCCGATTATGATCTGGACTGACCGCATCGATTTCAGTGCCTGTTTGATGAACGAGTTTGTTCTAGAAGGTCCACTTCTTGGGAAAATATCAATGAAATCTAGTTGGTGCTATCGAATGGCCCGCAAAATCACCGGATTTATCTCCCCTTGATTTTTTTGTGGGGACATCTGAAATCCAAAATTTATGCCATCAAAAACAAGATTTTTTTTCGATAAATATAATATATTTAGTTACAATCTTGTAAAACTAATCGAAAGCAAATAATATGAATAAAAACGGTTAAATATTAATTGGGCACTAAAAATTTAATTTATTTAAGAATCAGCCAGTCGCATCTTACACATGTTCCCCGCTGATTGTTAGTTGCAATTAATTGACTAAGTCAGCTAATTATTAGGTAGTGGCCATTAAGTGAGCTATTAATTAGTTTAACTGCGGCATTTTACTGCAAAAATTAATACAATATAAAATTCTACCACCATGTAGTCGTATTTCATTTCGAATATCTGCTTTTTATTTACCATAAAGGTTACATTGTATGTGTTCACATATTAATTTCTTAATTGGGTTGTATACACAACGTAATAAAAAAAGTTTGTTAGGTATCTGTTTTACCGGCTTTCAGTTTTTCAAATCACAGTGAAAGTACAATAAACTTTTGGAATATTGGCTTTAAGTTGTATTAAGATAATAAAATAATTTCCACAAATATAACAAAGTGTGAAAATGACCAAACATAATATTAACGTATTAATAATCCATCCATCATATTATGTACGTAGTTATGCGAAAGAGTTATGAGTTATTAGAAAGAAGGTGCCAATTACACAATTATAAATCATTTTAAATTGCCATTGTTGGTGTTTGAAGAATTATTACAATTTCATAAAAGCCGCGCTTTTACTATCGATTATATTCATGCGGTTAAACATTAGGTTGGATATTAGTTAGAGCCATTATTTATGCCTTTTTAAGCTTACCGACAGCTGACTTCACATTGAGACAAATTGGTCTCAACATGGAAAACAATACCTTAAAAAAACCAGAGCACTTTACAGGTTAATATTACAAGAAAATATTACCTAACGTGTAAGCGGTTGGGGTCCACGGACCAAGTAGAGTCGGCCAGTTGTTTAACTGTGGTTCTTATTGGTACTGCTGTCGAATATTTTAACGGGTAACAAAACCAGTGGCTGCCAAACAAAAGCCTTAGAATAACATACATTTTCATGATTGGTTTATTTAAAAACAAATTCATGCTGTGGCAAAATTGCTGCCAATCAGTGTTAATATTCGTCTCAATGTGCTGTTCCCCATCCATTTCCAATTTCTGCATGTTATAGTTTAAAAACGCGTGTGAATAGAAAGTAGACGTTTGTTTATTTTCACTCGTGCTTTTTGTCGTTTACAAATGTTAATTTGTCGTCCACTTGTAATTTATTTTGTAATACGACACTTATACGACGCTTAATATTTATAAACCTAGATAGGAGAAGGTTTTATTGCAGATACACATAA